TAGTACTCCATTTTATTAAAAAAACCACATTTTCTTTATCCAGTCTCCAGTTGATGGGCATTTGGGCTGTTTCCAAGGTTTAGCTATTACAAACTGTGCTGCTATGAACATGGGCACACATATCACTGTGGTATGATTCTTTTAATTCTTTTCCCCAGCACTTCTTTATTTACTTTTTTGGTACCAGGGATCGAACTCGGGTCCTTGCCCTTGAGCAGCAGGCGGCGAAACCACTGAGCTAAATCCCTGGCCCTTCCTTCTTTATTTTTGAGACAAGTTCTCTAGCTGGTCTTGACCTCACTATGTGGCCCAGGGTGGCCTCAAACTCATGCCAATCCTCCTGTCTCAGCCTCCTGAATGCTGAGATAACAGGTGTGCTCCACCACACCAGGTTCTCTGTTAAGGAATGAAAGTCAAGGGAGCCAGGGATTTAGCTCAGTGGTTCTGCTGCCTGCCTCACAAGCGCAAGGTCCCAAATACAATCTCTGGTACCAAAAAAAAGAATGAAAATCAATAATTCCTCTTGGTTTCCCTTTTACTAAAAACAAACATTTCACTTGTTTTATAGGAACAAGGTCTTAGTTAAGAGCCTTCGATGGGATTAGAAAGATAGGATAAAGGGAACCTCTCTGATGTTTTGGCTTCTTAAATCACCTGCCCTCCTGGAGTGGTGAGTCTACAAAACTGCAATGGGACCAAGACCAGTGGACACCCAAAGCCTTGTGCCCTTGAAGATGCCCAGCTCACCGAGAAGCTGTTGGACCTCCCCCAGCAACTATGCGGCTACAGGCGGCACCCAGGGAAACACCAACGCCCTCCACAGGGGCATCTTTAAGCTCAGGAGGCGTCTCCTGCCTGAGGGGCAGACTGACTGGGTGGTGGGACATCCGTGGGTCCCCAGCCTGCCTCGCCACTCCGCCAGCTGCAGCAGCTGTCCCAGCCCACCCTGCAGCCCATTGAAAGACTTGGTCTCTACCCTCAAGCATTCTGGAATTGTCTGTTAGCATGTAGATTTGCATTTGCTTTCTGTAATTATAAAATAATGTACTGAATCTAGTGTCTGGATTTTGCTTTGTTTTTTGACACAGCTTTGTAGTCTGGACTAGTCTTGAACTCACTATTCACCCCAGCCTGTCCTTGAACAATTTGGCAATCCCTCTGCCTCAGCCTCCTGAGTTCAGGGATCATGGGCTACCCCAGGATGCCTACCTGGTGCCTGGGTTTTTATGTTCCTTCTGTTTTGTTTTATGGGATTATGTATGCATCCCCATGAGCCCAGGAAGAGGGTCTCCTGCCCTCTTGGGGTCCTGCATCTCGGAGAGGAGGCTGTGTTCCGGGAGACTGTTAGTCTCCTGTCCAGTCTCCCCCCTCAGTGTGCGTTCTGGTGACGTGACTCCATGCTCTTCCTCCACCTCCCACTGCTTGCCTCTCTGTTCCTGGAGACCCAGGGAGCACTAGAGAAACCCACCTGCCTCATGAATTCAATGGCAGGGAGACTGCTGTAATTATCTTGCTGTTTAGAGGGAGCAAACAGGGACTCCGGAGACTGAGGCAGGAGGATCACTGTGAGTGCAAGGCTACCCTGGGCTACATAGTGAGTTCAAGGCCAGCCTGGAGTACACAGTAAGCCCCTGTCTCAAAAAAACAAAAAGGGGGGAGAGGAACAGGAAATTCGCTCTCCACCATGCCATCTGGATGGGCAGAGATCTCTGCCCACAAGCGGTGGTGTGGGGCCGGGGGTAGAGTCTGGAGCCCACCCTGCAGGGAGCTGGGTGCAGAAGACCTGGGCAGAAGCGGACAGGCAGGTGGTGTGGGCCAGGGACTGCCCAGCACAGAGAGGGGTTGCAGGGGGATGTGAGGGACAGCCTTTACGACTCCAGTTTACTGAAATGAAGCTGATGTCCCTAAAAATACTCAAGTAAATTTTATCCTTTCAAGATGGGGCTTGTAGTTGAGAATTACACTTTGGAGGGAGAAAGTAAGGAAGGGACAAGAAAAAAAGTGGAAATAGAAAGAAAAAATGAAAACAAAGCCTTTGTACATAGGGAGGGCAAAGGGCTTGGGGCGGATGGGATAAAATAAAATGTATTTAAAAATTAAAGAAAAAAAGAATTACACTTTGGCTACATGAACGTTAACCATGTATGAGACTTCGCACCACCAGAAGTGGTCAGCTGAAGTCCACTATAGCTTGGTGACTTAATTGAATCTGATCACAAGGGAGCAATCTGCCTCGATTATACCCGCTGTCTCAGATAATTACTGGGTGAACTGAGCACACCGGGGCTCCCTGTTGTCTGTTTCTTTTTCTTTCTTTTGTTTCTGATAGTCTTAAATTTAAATTTCCATTTAGACGAAGTAAATTAATAATTCTATTCCACATTCTATTCTCCCACGTAAAATTCCTGTTACACTTCTATTATTATTGTGTGTGACACAAGGGATTGTACCCAGGACCTTCACACTGAGCTAAATCTCCCACCCTTTTTAATGTTGTGACAGGTTCTGGCTAATTTGCTGAATTGCTCAGCCTGGGCTCAACCTTGAGATCCTTCCACCTCAGCCTCCCAGAGTGCTGGGATTTTCAAACGTTGTACCACACCTGGTTTATACTTCCATTAATTTGATATTGTTTTGGGTGGCTGTTTCTTGGGTATAACCACATGTGATAATCACAGATCCATGCACTCAAAAATTGAATAGTTTAGGGCCAGGGATTTACCTCAGTGGTTCCACTGCCTGCTTCCCAAGTGGAAGGACCTTAGTTCGATCCCTGGTACCAAAAAAAAAAAAATAATTACATAGTTCAACCAGCCCTGGTGGAACACACCTGTAATTCCTAGCATTTGGTCGTGGGGGATGCTGAGACAAGAGGATGGCAAGTTTAAATCCAGAATGGGTAATTTACAAGACTTATCTCAGAACAGAAAATTTAAAAGAGGGCTCCAGATGTAACTCTGAAAAGGCCCTGAGTTCAATCTCTAGTACCACAAAAGCAATAACAAACAAAGTATACATTACACCATATATGTTATATGTGCCATTTTTGTAATGCCGTGCTGGGGATCAAACCCAAGACTGTGTGCCTATTAGGCTAACACTACTACTGAACTATCCCCCAGCCTTACACTGGTTTTTAAAAGCTCTTGGTTAAAGGCTGGGTGTTGTGGGTCATGCCTGTAATCCCAGCACTCTGGAAGCTGAGGCAGGAGGATCACTTTGATTTCAAGGCCAGCCTGGACTACATCATGTGAACCTGTCTCAAAAACCTAAATAGAGCCAAGGATTTGGCTCAGTGGTTCCACCACCTGCCTTGTAAGCACAAGGTCCCAAATTCAATCCCTGGTACCAATAAATAAAGTCCTGGTTAGAGAGATAACAGTAATTTATTCTCTTGGCTAAAAGGCTTCTTTGGGGATAATTAGGGGGGAATTTGAATGTGGAATGGATATTACATGACACTATAGCAATGTTAAATTTCTTGATTGTGACAACTATTTTGGTTGTGTGGAATACATGTATATAATAGGCCAGGGATTTAGCTCAGTGGATCTGGCACCTGCTGTGCAAGCGCAAGGTCACAAGTTCGATCCCTGGTACCAAAAAAAAAACCCCAAAAAGAATACATAGGAAATGTTACAAAATGTTAACAATTGTTTAGTAAAATATAAAATATATGCAGGTTTGGAAATTTCGAGAACTTGGGAACATACTCAGCAAAATATAAGGAAAGAGCCTTGGGAAATCTAAGTCAGATTCTGAGCCTTTTCTGGCTTTTTCCTGAGGCCAGGTGTGATGGCCCCACCTATAATCCCAGCCCTAGGGAGGCTGAGGCAGGAGGATTGCCATGAGTTTGAGACCAGCCTGGGCTACATAATCCAAGGCCAGCCTGAAGCACATAGGAAGATCCTGTTTTTTAAAAAAAAAAACTCCTTTAATGTATTATTTCATAATCACTTTTTTTTAAAAAATGTGTGTGGTACTAGGGATTGAACCTAGGGGCTTTGCACTGAGCTCCATCTTCACCTCTTCATATTTATTTATTTTTTATTTACTCTTTTTTTCTTTTTTTCTCTCTATAAGAAGGTCTCACTATGTAGCTCAGGCTGCCCTGGAACTCACTATGTAGCCCAAGCTAGTCTCAAACTCACAACAATCCTCCTGCCTCAGCCTGCCAAATGCTGGGATTACAAACATGTGCCACCACGATGGACTCTCCTGGTTTGGAATGTAGAGTCCAAAGGTAGACAGAAGTAATCCCTCAATATTTCAGACACTACCCGAAGAATAAGAAAACTGCTAAATTTATAATTTTTTGAAAGATCAGGAAGGAAAGAAAACTCAGTTGGAATGGCATGGATGATTGAAATCATTTCCAAAGGTGTGACTCTTCTTTTGGGTCACCTAACAGAAGGTTTTCATGAAAAACTGGAGTGACCTCAGACTGAAGGGCAAGAAGTTGAAAGCAGTGCAGGGAAAGGGCACCTCCCTCAGAAAGGTCTGAAGAGGTGGGAGTGCAGGAGAAGGTGAAAGGCCAGGGCTGGGATGCAGCCCCAGGGAAGTTCAGTGTCAGGTGAGGCGGACTGGAATGCAGGGCCAGACAACGTAGGGCCTTTGCTTGCCTTTATCTTGACAAGCACAGGGAAGCTAGAAGTTGAGGGACTCAGCCAGCATCAATCTCAGGTTTGTATATGAAAACCCTTATGTCTGGATTGGAGAAAGGATCAGCCAGAGGGCAGATGGTGTACTTGGTCCCAGCCGAATTAGGAGATGTTGGCGCCTTCCACTCTGGTACTTGAGAGGCTGAGCCAGGAAGATTGCCATGAGTTTGCAGCCAGCCTGGGCTTTGTAGCAAGACCGTGTCTCAAAACAAACAAAAAACACGTTATTCTCAAATGGATATTATCAGTTAATTACCACTTCCCCTGTTTTCTTTTTTTATACTCTTCCTCTTTTGTATTCTCTTTTTTGTGAGAAGGATCATGCTATGTAGCCCCAGCAGCTTCTGACTCACAGCCTGAATGGCTCAGTCTCCACAGTGGTGGGATAGATGATTCATGTGAGCCCCCAAGTCTGGCTCCTCCATCATCTTTTATACTAAAAATCATCTTGGCTAAGCATGCAGCTTAGTGGCGGAGCAGCTGCTTGCCATGGCTGAGGTCCTGGGTTCAATTTCCAACATGATCTATGACCCCCCCCCCAAAAAAAAGAAACAGCATAGTGCATTAATTTAATCAAAGTATTAATTGATATGTGGACTTCAGACATGGAGACTCAGAGACTTCTGCTTGTTTCTGAGACAGGCTTTCTTTTGTGGTTCAGCCTGACCTTGGATTCATAGCAATAATCCCTACCTCAGCCCGAAGAGTGCTGGGGTTACAGGCAGGTATGTATGGCCATACCAGGGTTTGGGGTTTTGTTTGTTTGTTTTGGTACCGGGCATCGAACTCGAACTCGGGACTTTGTGCTTGCAAGGCAGGCACTGGAACCACTGAGCTAAATCCCTGGCCCCTTGTTTGTTTGTTTTTGATACAGGGTCTCAGTAAATTACCCAAGTGGAACTTGAATTTGTAATCCTGCTGCCTCAGCCTCTCTCAGGGCTGGAATTACAAACCTGAGCCAGTGTGCCTAGTTTTATCTATTTTTACGTTTGGAATTGAATGGGTTGATATGCAGAAATGTGACTGGATAAAAGGGTTTGAACTAAGTAGACAAAGAGGTGCACTCCTGGAATCCCAGCTCCCTCCCCTGGGGAGGCTGAGGCAGGAGGATCACACCAGCCTAAGCCACATAGTAAGCCCCTGTCTCAAATAAAATAAGAAATAAAAAAGATTATGAACCCATGCTAAGATACCAAAGGGGAAACCTGGCAAAGCCTGTCCAGAACTTTCTTGGCCTCTCTCTGTGGGATTCTTTCCTTCTTTTCCTTGGGTTCAGGGCAAGATCCTCTGGATATGGTCTCATGAGCCATTTCAGACAAGATCAAAGATTTTCCTTTGCGAGTAGGCCTCACACAGAAAGGCAGGAACATTTAAAGCAATCTTTTAGTTTT